TCATGAGCCTAACAGGGCACAATATCGCAAATTGGTTTTGCTTTTGAGATGCAACATCCTCTTGTTCTTTAAGAAGAAAATGTATCTGCAAGGTATGACTGAAAATTGTGGCTTCTGAAATGTTAAAAAGGCTTTCTAAGCGGCCAGTTGAAGCTGGAGGAGAGAGAAGCCACTTAACCTACTGAGAGAACATTGTTTGTATGGGATCCAGGACATGGGTGTTCTTTACAAGAAAAGGGTTGGCCATTGTTTGTTGTTTGCCATTGCTTTCTTTCTCGGGCTGAACAGAATGCTTGGCCCAAATTCACCCAGAAACTCACTTTAGTCACGACTAAGGCAGGTCTAGAATTCACAGTCTCCCAATTTCTACTTTGGTGCCTTTAATTACTACACCAGATTGGTTCTTCTCATATGCTTAGATCAATTCAGCAATATTTTCTTCTACAAATGGAATATGTGCTCATTGCCCGCTATTCTCAGACCAATAATAAACAATTGAGACTGTGGTTATCATATCTTTTAATGATAGGCCCTTCCCTCTGCGTGGGCAGCTGTATTGACAGAAGGAGGACCACATAAAATATGTGAGTGCTTGGAAAAGACTCAAGATTTATATGTAGTGTGTAACATATATTTAAAAACAAACGCCTTTAGGGACAATAGCCTAAAACAAATAAAAGAGGGGTTTTTTGGGGGGGAGGAGACTCATGGAGGAAAGCAGAAAGGATTGAAGCATATATGCTGGGCTTTCAAATCCCTTGAATGAGTTTCAGATGCAGCCCCACCCTTCCTGGCTAGCCAATATTTCTGGAGATCTTCAAGTACAGGAAACAATTTCTCATCTACCTCGCTTGAGTGGGAGGAAACTTTACCTTGCATGCCTCACCCCAGCAGAGTTTAAAGTCCAAGGTTTCTGGCTTGCAGAAAGTTTTGAGATGCCATGATCAAAGGAGAAGCAAAGTTCCTTTCTGGGTTCTAGCTTTGCAAAACAGAAAGAGGAACCTTGCCATACAAAAATATTGGAACTTGAGCACTTAAAGGTAAAGGTTCCCCTTGCACATATGTGCTAGTTGTTTCCGGCTCGGGAGGGCAGTGCTCGTTTCCATGTCCAAAGACGTCTCTGTGGTCATGTGGCCAACATGACTAAATGCCGAAGATGCACGGAACGCTGTTATGTTCCCACCAAGTGGTCCCTATTTTTCTACTTGCATTTTTACATGCTTTTGGACTGCTAGGTTGGCAGACAAGTAATGGGAGCTCACTCCATTACGCGGTGCTAGGAATTTGAACCATCAAACTGCTCACATTTCTGATCGACAAGCTCAGTGTCTTAGCCACTGAGCCACCACGTCCCATTTTAAGCACTTAGGCAGGCCCGTTTAGCTGTAGTTGCATCTTAAAAAGCCACAGTTCATTATTTTACAAAATGTATAAGTAAAAAAAGATACTGGGTTCTTATACCAAACATTTTTAATGTTCCTTTTTAATTATTGCAAAGATTTCCTTATTACTTCAAAAAAGAAGATCCCATCAAAAAAAGGAAATAAAATTGAAACTTAAATGTTTGTGTTTGATTGTGAATATCAAATAGAATCAAAATGTATACTTTGACATTTAGTCTTGTTCCAGTTACTTTTAATCTTTTTTGGAAGAGACACTATTATTGGTATGATATTACTGAAAAATTGCTCTCTTTATTTTGGCTTAACGCATCTCTGTAAAAATATAAAGACTAATTCATTTGGCCCTGAATACCTTGTGCTTGGCAACAAATTGGATGCCAATTACATAATACTCTGAAAAGTGATAATTAAATAAGCATTTTTAGCAGGGAAATCTAATTAGTGGATTCTGCAGAAATTTAGTTTGTATGTTCCAATTTTGATGCCTAATTTTATAACTTTTTCCTATTGTCAGGTAAATGTATGCTTTACGTTACTCAGTAAAACTGCTATACACGCATACATATTTTATGTACAACTGGTTTATTTGAATATAAAATGGGTAAAACAGTGCAAAAGATATAAGATTTTTGTCAAATGCTTTTTCCTTTGGGGGGGCGAACATAAACAAAGAAAATGAAAAGTCAGCCCAGTCAATATAAAAATGATGCTTCCATTTTGGTAGGGTCAGAATAGAAAATCTAGTAATGTCTCACTGTGTCAGAATAATCTGCTTTCTCTAAGAAAGAGAGACTGAAGACCAGCTAAGGCTGAGTCATGACTGACTAGAGCAGCTGCTTAACAGCCAGTTCCATTCAAGAATAGTTCTAAGCTTAATTCTTGGATAGGAGTGAAATCATATTATACTCCTTACAATGTGGTTAGAATTCTGTTGTTTTTAGGTTATTTAATTGTACCACGATTATTTATTTGTGGAGTCATTTGGTAGCTGCACTTTAAATTGCCCAGAATTTTTTGACTGCAGTAGTTATAATTCATTGTTTCTAAAAAAAAATCTGCCTGCACCTTTGTTGTCCTGCTGGCCCCTTGTGTTCTGCAAAAACATATTTGCTTGAGTTGTTTGACTCCACTGCTAGGTTTGTGTGATGTAGAATCTATACTGTTCTAGGAATTCATGCTACAATGACAACAGTGGATCTGATTCAGGTTGCTGACCGCTTGAGACATACAGGTGATCACACTTTAGATTTGTCTCATAGACATTGTACCATGATCTGAGGATGGAGACGTTACCACCAGTCTTCAGTTTGCTGGTACTTTTTCTCCCTCTGTTCCCCAAAAGGAGCTTGTCTGATTTTCACTACTGGATTCTGATAGGTTTTAGAGGGTGCTTGGTTTTTTTTCCTGGAGTGGGCATGTGATGAGAATCTTAGAAGGGTTTGCCTCATATGATCTTTCTTGTTCATTGATCCCAGGCAACTCTAATTTTCTGAGATGCTCTGGAAAGTTAAATAAAAAAAGTTTAGAGCACTGTTGGAGCAAATAGTAAAGTGAATTTGGCTAATTATATGTAAAAACCTATATTAGGGACTGCAATTGGCTCTTTTTAAAATAATCTGTTCTCTGCTGGGAGAAATGGATCCCAGGAATATCTACAGGGCAGAGGTGGTATTCAACAGGTTCTGACCAGTTGTGGAGAACCGGTAGCGGAAATTTTGAGTAGTCTGGAGGACTGTCAAATACCACCTCTGACTGGAGATTTTATAGTATCCTTCCCCTGCCATGCCCACCAAGCCACGCCCACAGAACCGGTAGTAAAAAAAAAGATTTGAATTCCACCACTGCTACAGGGCCATTGTGAAGAATATTCAATCATTTGGATTCTCTTGGAGTTGTACTCTGACAAAATTGGCACAGTTGAAACAACTTTAGCACAATCTTTCTTGCTTTTGTGGAAATGAACAGGATCCTTGGATCTGTTAACTTTGCACTATTAGATTCATACTCTTCCTGTTTGGTTAAGATCTCCAGAGAGATGGTAAAAATTGGGACCATGTGGTGCTGAACTCATCCTAGAATAGTGGTTCCCCATGACAAGAAATAATACCTTCTTAAGAAACTATCACTGGACCCAACATTTTGCGTGAACCTTTGCCTAGTTTTCAGCCTCTTACTTCTGAGAGAAATTGTTGGAAAGGTGATCATGCTGCAGCTTCAGATGCCTAGGAGAAAATAATTATTTGGATCGTTTCAGACTAGTTACAGCCAAAGCATAGAGCTTGAATTGGTATAGCTGAGAATGGGATAGCGGCTCTCCTTGTTCTCTCACCTACCTTTGATACCATCAGTCGTGGTATTCATCATCAACAATAGGGATTAAGAATAAGGGGCATGGCATTGTAGTGGTTTGATTTTCCCTGTGGCCAATTCTAGAGGGTACTGATAGAGAGTTGAGATTGAGCCCAAAGTCCCTGATCTGTGGAATGCCTCAGGACTTGTAAAGGAATGTGTGAATGAACTTGGAGGAATAAGAGAGGGAGAAGCCCACCATCACCTAACTGTTAGAGAAAGAAATTCAGATAGTTAAAAGTGGATGAGTTGAGAGGACTTCTCTCAGCCAGACAAGAAAAGGGTGTCAAGTGGTGATCAAGCCTTGCATCCTTGTGCAGCTGCAAGAGACATATGCCTGACACACACCCCTAAATTCCATGGAATCTTAACCCATTGTTCCCAAGAGAAGGCAAAGAGTTTAGGGAGTTTCTTGTATTAAAGGTAGAACATAATAAAGTGGCTGATTTGGACCTTTCATGAGTGTTTCTTGTTGCTTGCAGCCGACATTTATACTCTTATCCCTTCTAATTAACATTTACTGTATATGAAGCTCCTTTGTGAGGTTATTGTAGGGTTCAGGTATAGTTGGTATGCTGATTATATAACTCTGTATTATGTGCATCTCGAACGGTGGGCTACCAACATATATCATAAAAGAATCAATGCTTGGAGGTTGTTGGGCAATGGATAGAGGGAACGGATTGAAGCTCAACCCTAGCAAGACAAAGTAGATATGGACTTCCAGTTCTGGGAACTTTAGCACAATTGCAAGCCCGCTGTTCTTTAAATATGGTTTAGCTCTTTCCCAAGGTTTGGGATTGGGCTGCCTATGGGCTCTTAGATGTTCTTATGTCTGCTGCACAAGTAACCATCTTCCTATTGCCCAGTAATTGTTCTTTTTCTGTAGTTTTCAATTTATACATTGTCTATCTTTGAGAAATTGGGCAACTTTAGAATTATAAATGAGAAACACAGGCTTTATAAATACATTTTCGATGATGCAAAAAATAGGTGTATGTAAGGTTATGCTTTTAAAGGAAAAAATTTTGGGGGGGTGTTGCAAAAAGATGTTTTGGAATTTCTAAGTAGCCACTTAGATATTGTGTTTTGTTTTCTGCTACAAGATAACATGTGTTCTTCAAGAAAAAACACCTTTCATTGTCCAGTATCGAAAGAGTAGACATCAATACCCACAAACTCTACCAGAACAAATGCTTAAAAATTGCAATCTAAATGTTTGTTTTTTTCCTGGCCTTTGTCTTTTAGTGACATACCAAAAATAAGAGATGGCAGTAATTGAAATAGCTTGCCAGGATCATACAAATCCAGCTACTGGATCTCCAAAGGAACTCCTAATGGGCAAAGGGCCCGAAGAAGTAGTGAGTGAAAAGAAAAGCAGTGTTTGCAAAGTAGAGGATCCAGATAAAAAGATGTTCCATGAATCATGGAAGATCCTGAATGATGTGATTGCTAAAGGAACTGCCAAGGAAGACAGCGGACAAGGGAGCTTGGCTTCCATCTCCATCATTGCCCAGGCAGAATGTAAGTAAGGGAGAAGAGGTGAAGTGTGTGTGTGGTGGGGGAGGGAGGGATGGAGGGAGAGAATGAGAACGAGAATGTATATGGAAGTATAACTTTCTGTTCTGGAAAGATATTGGTAGCCTTCTAATAGATTTTCAGTCTTAATAAGGACATTCAGTTGGATACCATGATGCCATGATGATTAAGGAAGAAGTGCTTCCTGAATATTAACTGCTTTTAATTCACTTTTCTTTTCCATTTCTCCTGGCATTTCCATCTCTCTCTGTTATCCTGTCTTAATTCTGATAGAAACCTCTAACTTTGAAAGTGTAAGTGACATAGAGTAAATACTTAGAGTAAAAATTACAATAAACCCTTGACTTAACAGACTGCTGGGGACAGGAGGATCTGCTATATTTGAATATTCATGAAATGTTGAAAGGGAATGTATACATGTGTTAAACCATTATATGCAAACATAAATTGTTGTTATGTAACAACTAATGTCAAATGAAATTCAATGCATGCATAACATGGCATTACATGTTAAAATGCTGAACAGATTTTGCATCTGAAGTTCACTATACTAAGATCTGATAAACTGAGATTTTAATATAATTTGAGCATGTCTAAAAGATTCGTGTGTTCTCCTATGCTCAATTGATCAGTACTCTTAAATTCAGAAGTAGTCTGAATTGATTGATATTTACCATCAATTTGTTTTTGACTCCTAGAAACCAAATAGATTTCCTCCATGACTGTGATATTACATGTATAGATAAGCCCAGATTTCCGCTGGATATTTGAAACAAATTGTGCTATTCTTTAGATTCTAGATTGACTATTTTAATGTAATATTTGACTCCCTTCCCTTCTCAATCTTCTGAAATATATTTTCAATCTTCCTTTATGTTTTCTTGATATTTTTACTCTCTCCATAATACTGCTATACTTTGATAAGAAATATGGATATAAATTGAACACAATAACAGTAATTATCTTCACACTTTAGTGAAACTGAATTCTGTAAATGTATGTGATTTTGGTATTTCTTTGCTTCATTATGGCATATTTGAACTTTTTTTAAAAAAAACTTTCTTCAGGTGAGATAAGCCAGGAGTTCAGTCCCACTTATTCAGAGAGGCCTTTTATTGTTCACACAAAACGATATAGGTAAGTTCTCTTTCATAAAGTGCAAAACCACAATGCCCTCCCCTGGTCCTTACCCCCAATTCACTTGCATAAAAAGAGGGGGATCCTTTGTACCTTCATATTGGAAAGAGTATTCCACATCCATATCCACATTGGGGGCCCGGAGGAGCATCAAAATAGTCAAGAGCGAGGCTCTTCAACCATATTTTGATGATTGCCATCTTGTCTGCTTTGATTCATGCACCCCAGTCATTAGAAGCCATTGTATTCCACTTAATTCCACCTTTTTATCATAGACTGGTATCCAAACCATTGTGCTAGAATTACCAAGTTTCATACTTCAGAACTTTCTGCATTACGTAACAGAAAATTTTATTTAAAATGTTATCTTTTAAATTGTTCTTTTGATATTGTCAGGACTTGGCAAGTATATATTTCTGGTAAGACACATTGTATACCATTGCAGATGTAGCATGATTTATGTAAGGTCTCAGTTCCTATGAGATAACTACAAGAGTGGTCTTGCAGATTTTCAGCAAAAGTGGAGTGCCAAGGCTATAAATTTTATAAGCAACAGTCAAGTAAATTATTCTGTGATTATAAAAGCTTAGGATGAATATTTTAAAAGAAGGAAAAGATGAGGAAATAATATTATGTATGAAAGGGAGCCATTGCATGACTCCTTCTTGGGTTTTGTATTTTGAAACAATAAAATATTTTGTTTGTGACAGAATAAAATATTTGAAGGACGGCTCCCCACCCCATATATTCTGTTTCTTGTTATTCAGTCATTTTCTTTTCTGTTATGTCTAAGTTTGCCTCTTGCCCTCACCGTCCCAAAATATCAATCATTCAGGAAGTCTAACCAGTAAAGTTCATATAATGAATGTTTCGGCATTGCTATGAGTAAATAAATCCTGTGCCTGGCATGACGTGGCATTGCTTTCGTTCTCATAAAGCTAAATACTTTGCCTCACTTTTGACACTCATATTAAAATATTGTTGACAAGGAAACATCTGATAAAATGTCTGCCTACAGTGCTTCAATGTATGATTTAAAAATTACACACACACAAACAGAGACAGAGTATCTCACAGAAGTGAGTACACCCCCTCACATTTTGTAAATATTTAAGTATATCTTTTCATGTGACAACACTGAAGAAATGACACTTGGCTAAAATGTAAAGTAGTGACTATACAGCTTGTATAACAGTGTAAATATGCTCTCCCTTCAAACTAACGCAACACACAGCTATGTGCTGGCAACAAAAGTGACTACACCCTAATTGATAATGTCCAAATTTAGCCCAAGTAGCTGTTTTCCCTCCCTGGTGTCATGTGACTTGTTAGTGTTACAAGGTCTCAGGTGTGAAGGGGGAGCAGGTGTGTTAAATTTGGTGTTATCGCTCTCACTCTCTCATACTGGTCACTGGAAGTTCAACATGGCACCTCATGGCAATGAACTCTCTGAGGATCTAAAAAATGAATTGTTGCTCTACATAAGGATGGCCTAGGCTATAAGAAGATTGCCAAAACCCTGAAACTGAGTTGCAACACAATGGCCAAGACCATACAGCGGTTTAACAGGACAAATTCCACTCAGAGCAGGCCTCACCATGGTCAACCAAAGAAGTTGAGTGCCCATGCTCAGTGTCATATCCATTAGTTGGCTTTGGGAAATAGACATATGAGTGCTGCCAGCATTGCTGCAGAGGTTGAAGGTGTGTGTGTGGGGGTCAGACCATACGCTGCATCAAATTGGTCTGCAGGGCTGTCGTCCCAGAAGGAAGCCTCTTCTAAAGATGTTGCAGAAGAAAGCTTGCAAATGGTTTGCTGCAGACTATCAGACTAAGGACGTGGATTTCTGGAACCATGTCCTGTGGTCTGCTGAGACCAAGATAAACTTATCTGGTTTAGATGATGTCAAGCGTGGGTGGCAGCAACCAGGTGAGGAGTACAAAGACAAGTGTGTCTTGCCTACAGTCAAGCATGGTGATGGGAATGTCATGGTCTGGGGCTGCATGAGTGCTGCCACACTGGGGAGCTACAGTTCATTGGGGGAATCATGAATGCCAATATATACTGTGACATACAGAAGCAGAGCATGATCCCCTCCCTTCAGAGAGTGGACCGCAGGGCACTATTCCAACATGATAACGACCCCAAACACACCTCCAAAATGACCACTGCCTTGCTGATAGACTGGCCAAGCATGTCTCCAGACCTGAACCCTATTGAGCATCTGTCGGGCATCCTGAAACGGAAAGTGGAAGTGTGCAAGGTCTCTAACATCCACCAGCTCCATGATGTCATCATGGAGAAATGGAAGAGCTTTCCAGTGGCAGCCTGTGAAGGTCTGGAGAACTGTATGCCCAAGAGTGTTAAGGCAGTGCTGGAAAATAATGGCAGCCACACGAAATATTGACATTTTGGGCCCAATTTGGACATTATCACTTTTAGAATAGAATAGAATAGAATAGAATAGAATAGAATAGAATAGAATAGAATACTTTATTGGCCAAATGTGATTGGACACACAAGGAATTTGTCTTCGTGTAAATACTCTCAGTATACATAAAAGAAAAGATACATTTGTTAAGAATCAAGAATCATAACGTACAACACTTAATGATAGTCATAGGGTACAATCAACAATCAAATCATACTAGGAAACAGTCAAGTGGGAGGGGATGGGTGATAAGGAGTGGTGAGAAGATTAACAGTAATAATAGTGTACACTTTGTAAATAGTTGAACAGTGTTGAGGGAATTATTTGTTTAGCAGAGTGATGGCTTAGTACACTTAGGGGTGTACTCACTTTTGTTGCCAGGGATTTAGACATTAATGGCTGCGTGTTGCATTATTTTGAGGGAGCAGCACATTTACACTGTTATACAAGCTGTATACTCACTACTTTACATTGTAGCCAAGTGTCATTTCTTCAGAGTTGTCACATTAAAAGATATACTACTCTGTGTGCGTGTGTGCGTGTGTGCGTGCACGTACATACACACATATACATACACATTCACACACTTATAGGTATATTTTATTGGAAATTGAAGATGAAGGATATAAGATTAAAAAGGATTTTTCACAAATGTATTCATTCTTTAGTTTGAGAACTTATGATTATTCCAAATGTTCTCAAGATCTTAGTGTGTAGCTTTCAGATCTGCTAAATGGCTATGGTTTTTGCGAGTTAAGCTAAAATATATCTGTAATACTACTTTCTGTCAGCCGGTCTTGCAGCCTTGATCAAATCCCCAATAATGTGGCTCATGCAACCGAAGGAAAAATGGCTCCAGGTTCCTGGAAGGCCTTACATCGTGGCAAATCCCGGAAGAAGCAGCGAAAGAGAAAGTCCTCCCTTAAAACACCAAAAAGAGCAGCCTCCCTAATTCAAAAGCCAAGGACTCCGGAGCAGGAGAGCTGTGTACCCATACCTGTGCAGGTAGGGCATATTCTACACTGCCTCAAATCATGCTTGAATATAGCTTTTATGATGGACACAGTGGAACTTAACCACAGCAGTGCCTATTTTCTTTCTCAGAGGCATATATGTGATTGTAGTTGAATTAACAATGTACAAATGAGCAACAGCTCAGATATCATTTTTCAGCTTTATGAAATCTGTCCTGTTGCAAAATGTGTTATAAAACAAGGAGATTCTGAACAATTTTTGGGGGGAAATTTTTAAAATTACAATCCACATTAGATGACATATATGATGAAAATAGAAAAGAGGACAGAGATCACTAATGATAGCTTAGCAGTGTGATCTTAGACCACTTTTTTGTAATTTATCATGTCTGAAACATTTAGGACTTTAACTTCCATAAATCCAAAACAATACTGAAATTGAGATCCAGCACACTAGAGTGGATAAATACATAATTTTTTTTTATTTATGATACTTTTATCCCACTCTTCTATTTCAAAAGCACTCAAATCTTTCCCCTAATTCAATAAGTTGTTAAATACACAAATTTGCTTGTCATGAAGCATATTGTATACCCATTACTACATCTGATAAGCAACTACCTTGCCTCTTAAGTTCTGAAGATAATTCCAAAACTTGTCCAATAAGCAAATATGTTTGGCTATCACATGATGACAGCAACTTAGCAAATTAGGCCCAAACCAGCAATTTTCCACCATCCTTCTTTTCCTCAGATTTAGTTTCAAAGATGTCTCTTGGTTGCTTTTTGATAGTGATACAGAATTGACGAAACCTAATGCAGGAAGGGTGCCTTACAAAAAACTGTTCTAGTGTTGGTCAAACAGAGCTTATACTTATAAAAGCCAGGTAGAAATTGTGGAACTCTCTGTAATAATAATATTCAAAAATAGAGTGGATTACATATTCATAATTCTAAATACAGGTAGTCCTTGACATGGGACTGGAATTTCCATTGTATATTGTTGCAGTCATAAATTGACTCAGATGTGAGTTTATTATCATTTTTACAGTAGTCATTAAGTGAATCACATGGTCATTAAGTTAATCCAGCTTTCCCCAGTGGGTATTTTTGCTAGAAATCGATAAAAATACTAACAATCATGTCACTGCAGAACACTGCAAGTGGTGGTAAAGAGCCAAGAGCCCAAACTGTGATCAGTTGATACAACTGTCATAAGTGAAAATACAAGTTATAAGTTACTTTTTTCCAAACTCATTGTAACATCGAACTATTATTAAAGGAATAATTATGAGTCCAGGGTTATGTATAGGTTATTGGCTCAAATTTATTTATAGATAAATTTCATGTAAAATCATTCCTCTAAAATGTTAGAAATTCATGTCCATGGTTCCCAGCTTTTAGTTACTTAGCTTTTAACTAATTGGAATCTGACAATGAGAAAATAGCTTTCCTAATTATTGGTGGGGTTTAGAGTGCAATCCTATTGATTAGCTGGGTAGCTAACTAGTTCATTTTTCTTCCAGGAAGATGACTCTCATTTGGGCACCCTCTTCAATATCACTTCATGGCATTCAGAACTATGTAAGGATTTCGGTTCTGATTTCAGTTCCTTTGAGAAACCAAGTCAAGTTTTATCTACGAGCAAGTTGCATATGATAAAGAGCCAAGCAAAGCTAGAATTACACAAGTTGATCAGCCCTGCTCAGTGCTTGAGTCATGTTTGGAAATCCTATACACAGGACAATTTGGGCTCTCAATTGGAGATTGTGCGTCCCTGTCCTTCAAACAAATTTCCTCCTTATTTGTATGGCCGGAGCTATTTGCTTCCTGCTTTGAAACCTGGCCCTCTGAAGACTTATCTTTTTGATGATCTTTCAAATGTGAATGATGAATGTTACCTTTCAGACTTGAATCTGGCACATAGCTTTTCCAAATGTCATCAGTCTGCAAAAAACACTTCAGATACTTTTTCTATGGATGAATTTCTAGTAGATGCATTGAAGGGAAATGTTATTCTTGGAGAACCAAAAAACCTAGCTTGTTTGGCCAAGACTTGGAAAGATGGATCATGTTCAAAAGTGTGCCTACAGGAAATTAATGAAAATGAAGGAGTGTTGCTTACAGAGGTGAGCTTTTGAAAACTGTTAACAGGATACCAACTGCATACTTTTTGATAGGTCATGCTGTATTATACAAAGTAAAGATAGAGATCATCACCTGGAACCATATTCCTATCAACAGCTTGGTCAAAGACAAAACATAAAAGCATTACATGACAGAGGACATTTGAATTAAAATATTTGAACCTGCATGGGGCAGGGGAAATTGTATCTTTCTATATTTCCTTAAATGGGGAAACTACTAAAAATCTGCCCCAGAAAGAAGATGAGACTGCAGTTTTCCTCTCCAATGGGCTAGCTTTCTAAAGTAAATTAGCTTTTAACAAACAATGGGCACAGATTCAATTCTCTATTCTTAAGTCTTGTACTGGTATAACCAAGGAATGACTATTATGATCTTAGAGTGAAAGTACATTTAATGAGTTATTTTCAATGAAAGAATTCATAAGGGAAGAAGTAGGGTCCTCTTTTGAAATAGAAACATTTTATCCATCCCATCCTCCTTTTTCATGTTTGAATATTACCAGAAGAAATTGCTGAGTTCACTTTATGACAAACCTTAATGTGTTTGGTTTTCATTTACCATAGTATGATGTGTGAACAAAATTGCAGTTCTTTATAAACTCATAGTTTATCATTTAGCATATATAAATCCATGCTATTGTGGCTTACTCAGTAGATGCAGACAGATAACAGATAATCAGAGTTGGAAGGGACCTTATAGGTCATCCAGTCCAACCCCCTGCCCAAGCGGGAGACCTTACACCATTTCTGACAAATGACAGTCCAATCTCCAAGAAGAGATGGTCTCAAGTGATGGCACTCCCACAACTTCTGAGGGCAAGCTGTTCCATTGGTTGATTGTTCTCACTGTCAGAAAGTTTCTCCTTATTTCCAGGTTAAATCTCTCCTTGTTCAGTTTCCATCCATTATTCCTTGTCTGGCCTACAGGCGCTTTAGAAAATAGCTTGACCCTTTCCCCTCTGTGGCAGCCCCTCAAATATTGGAAGACCGCTATCATGTCTCCCCTGGTCCTTCTCTTTACTAGACTAGCCAAGCCGTTCCTGCAACCGTTCATTGTATGTTTTAGCCTCCAGTCCCCTAATCATCCTGGTTGCTCTTCTCTGTACTCTTTCTAGAGTTTCAATATCTTTTTTATAATGTGGTGACCAAAACTGGACGCAGCACTCTAGGTGTGGTCTTACTAAGGCTTTACAGAGTGGTATTAGTACTTCCCTTGTTCTTGATTGTATCCCTCTGTTAATACAATTTAGGATTGCATTAGCTTTTTTGGCTGCTGCTGCACACTGCTGGCTCATATTTATCTGGTTGTCCACTGGGACTCCAAGATCCCTCTCACAGTTACTGCTATTGAGCCTGGTTTCACCCAGTCTATATGTGTACTTTCACTCAGTCTATATGTGTACAGTCATTGGTGATTCACACAACATGACATAATAGCTTCATTTGATTTTTGTTATTGAATTGCAGATGCTGTTTTTAAGATTTATGTGAGAACTAGAGCATTTTTATTCAACAAACTATGGCTTAATATTTGACTCCCAATAATAAAGCTGGACATTTGGGTAGATAGACTGGTTCTAGATTCTGGACAGGCAGGAAGAAGTATATCATAATATAGAATTTGTTATTTTTTTCATGAAATTTATTGCCAACAGAAAAGGAAATGATCACTAGTTTCAGTAATGTTGGAAAGCATTACATAAATTCATTACTGCAGAAGCTATCCAACTTTCTCACTGCAGATTCTGGGCATTTAAACTAGAATAGTTATTATGCGAGTTGCAGTTAGAGAGAAAGAGAGCACATACTGAATTGGGGAGGGCTAGTCTTCCAAAAAAAATTAAACAAGGAATTCTGTTCAAAGTAAATTTCTAGGACTCAAGGATAGAGAAGAATCAATAAATGTGAACTAATGGTAGGATAATTTGGCTTTAAAAGGCAAGCGCCGAAATGTTTTTTTTCTCCTGTTCTTGACAATAATTTTGGCACAATCAATTCATTCATCCTCTTTTCAAGGCCTCTTTTCCTTTTTTTGTTTCCTGGTTGCTAATCTGCAGAAACTCAAAGCAGTCGATTATGAGTACCGAGAAGAGGTTCACTGGACTAAATCTCAAGGTTTGCTCGGCACGGGCTCTTTTGGAGAAGTGTATAAAATGGAGGACAAGCAGACGGGCTTTCAGTGTGCAGCCAAAAAGGTATAGTGGTACATTATGCAAATCTGTTGCCTCCAAGGGAGGGAAAGCAGCATCAAAAAGAGGAAATGAAAGTTGCTTCCCTTTTCAGTGGAACTGCTAAAGGCTGGAGCAGTCACAGCAGTGATGCTTTGCTGAAACTTGTTTGTCATATCCTCAAGGTCAAGCCAGAAGTCGTCGCCATGGTGACACCAAACAGTGGAATCTCCAGCTGGCTGTGGGTGTAATGGGCTGCCAGGGAAGGATCACTCTTGTATAGCAGCCAAATTAGTGTCCTGCGGAGGCGATCTTAGCTGCTTTCTTGCATGGCAGAAATCATTTGTAGAATTTATAACGGATCAGATATTAATAATAGTATAAGTTTCTTTAATCTGATCACTGAATCCCGGCAATTTGTCTTGCTTACTTCCTTTACAATATAGATGTAGTCATGGGTTACTCCCCATCCAATGAAATGGGCTCCAGCCACAGCTGCTCATGATGTAATTAAAGTATTAGTCTTAAAAATACCACCAATCTCTATATTTTAGTATGAAGTATAGTGTAAGAGCATAAGTCACAACTTCTTTGCAGTTTTATTAGACAGCTGTAGCTTTAAGCTACTAGCTAGAGGTGATTTGTAGGTATCTACTACTTTTTGTGACACAGTGTGCTTTGGTAGAATCTTCAGCAGCTATCCTGACTTCTCCTTTTAATGCATCATGCATTTTTAGATTCTTATGTTTAATGCTGGCATTATGTTTAAGACACAGGGGGGAGCTAAATTAACAAGTTGGGAAGCTCAGATGCCTGAAATTTTATCTGAAGTGTCTGTGTGCAGAAATCCTGAGGCTTGTTATTTGTAATTCCTTTTTTTCCTCTATGCTCTGAATTTCCATTCTTTGTTTCATTCTCTGATCCAACAATTACCAGCCACTAGCATGTTAATGACTAGTATTTTCCTTCTCTTTAGCAGTTATTCTCTTTTATAGACTTTTTGTTTTACCAGACTATATATAAAATCAGCTCTCATTTTAGCTTTTCTATTGTCTGTAACTAGGGGCAGGCTGTATTTTAATGTCTGGGTTGAAAAAAACAAGCTGGAAAAAGAATATTTAGCTTTATTCATACAAAAACTACTAAGATACATTTAGCTTATTTTTTAATTGAAAGCACAACGTGTCTTCAGCTTGTTTCAATGAGAACATATACTATATCAAAGTACAATATTGGTTTGTTCTTGCTTGTTTGTCTTATCTATTCAGCAGGCCACAGATATGTGAGGTCAAAGCAATTAAAAATAAACACTTTTCAATTTAAACTGCTCTTGTTTGCTCTCTTCCCCCACCCCAATCCCTTGCTCCTTATTTTTTTTTTTTTTTTTTGGCACTAGTCATATTTTTATATCAATTTCTTTATCAAGACCTCTGCTTTTATCAAGACCTCTTTGTGTTTTTTGTTATGCTCCTTTCTGTAACTTCAATGTTGAAAATGCAGCGTCAGTGGGATGAAATGTCAACTGTCCGACTAACGTGCCCAAAACAAGTAAACACTCTTGGAAGCTTTGAATTTCCAAAAGTGAAACATCATTTTGGTACTGAAGAATCAAAACCAGCTCTGTTTTTTCCATACAAATGCTTGCCTAGCTAAACAATATCTTCCTTTTCTCCCCACCACTGGGTGATCACATTGTCCAATTATGAGATGGCTTTTTGTTATGGGAACAGTCCACCTTCTCAAGCACCTGCAGTCATGACTTTGATGGTTTCCAAGTTCTCACGGTCTGTGTGCAAATTCTTAACACTCCATTCCACCCTTGGCAAGTTGAATAAAGATAAGATTCAAAAAGAGCAAAGGGGTTCAATCTTGACACCAATAAAATATATCTTGTTGACTCAGATGATGGATAAGATTGCCCCTTTTCCTAGTCTATCAGTTTGGTTTCAGTACTAGTGGTGGCACAGCGTTCTCTACTGCAAATCAGGACAGTAAATTAGCTTGGGACGAACATACTATAAGAGACTGATAACTATCCTCAGTCATTTTACTACTGTAGTTGATTTGCTATTTCTAATTGCTACTTACTATTTGTTTGATAAAATGCTATGAATTCGGGTATTATGTGCTATATGAGCTGAGCAATACATGTACTAAACTTGATAAAGTCCCTGGGCTGGTTATTTCTTTGTTTTTTCATTTGGATTGGGGCTTTTCTCAACAGTACTGTCAAGCATTGGGAATAAGCAGATGGGAAGAGCATCTAAGTAGTGCAACTAGCAATATTTAAGTACTGTTACAACACTAGTTCTAGAGGATGGGAATACCCAGAGAGAAATGGTTGGCATTGTAGTAGTCACTTCTAAGTACACTGCTTTTTTCTACAACTAAGTGGAAGGGAAAAAAATCAGCAAAGGGTTAGTCTAGGAAGAGAAGTAAGCTTGTTTAGTTTGTGTCAACAGTTGTGGAAGATAACAGAGAAGATTCATGATTCTTGTTTGTGCAAACAATTTGTGTGGAATGTTATCTGATAACATGGGGAAGTAAAGTTTTATTATTGCTTTATTATTGCTAAAATATTTACTAAAATATTTGAGATATTCAGATTCTAGAAGAGAGAGGGAAATTAAGTGAGAAATTTGATAGACAAACCATGATTGCTTTGCCACACTAAACAATAGCAAAAATAAATTTGCTTTAACAATGTGTATGAACCAAGCTCCTGTTTCAATAATTAACTTATCCCACTGGGTTTGGTAGATACTTATGACTCAGGAATCTCAATGAGTTTGTGAAATTCAATTTCTTCCTCAACTTCCCATTTTTCAAAGTCTTTTTCTCTCTCAATAGATTACAGTTCTTTTTCTCAGTTACTTTAGAATTATCATGAGCCTGAATGTTTTCTTGGTTCATTGCTTACTCATCTTGTTTTTTAATCCATTTTTAGCTTTTAGCTTTATTTGTTACCATAATTTTCTTTATAAAATTTTGTTAGGATCTGTCTCTTCCATTTCAATTTTTTCTGACTCTCATTCTCATCTCTTCTTCATTTAAGCAGCTGAGAATAATGATCGTTTTTAATTAAGGTTGGTATAGGCTATCAAGCATTCTGTTTGCCTCTCAATTTCCTTATAGATAATAAATCCAAATACCCCAACATGCTCATCTTCTCCTTTCTCAGATGTGCCCTGAACTTCCCTTGCCCTTTCCCCATTCAACTCACACTTAATTCATTTGAAGAAACAAGATATTGGACTAGGTAGTCTTGGTTTATTCTGATTGTATATGAAAGCCATTATTTTTCTATTTAAAGCCGATATTGTTTAAACCTTTCTACCTCATACTTCTCTTTCTAGATACAAGTTGAACACTTTCGTGCAGAAGAGTTGTCAACATGTGTTGGAGTGACACATGCCAAAGTCCTCCCTCTATATGGAGCAGTGAAAGAAGGCCAGTGGGTCACTATCTTCATGAAACTGATGGAAGGTAGGTGATCAAGAACAGAGAAAAGATATTAGCAATATCATGAACAATAGGAATCGCAGATTATTACAGGGGCAAAAATAAATTGAGTGCCGAGAAGTGAAGCAGAATTATAATTTAGTCAATTTAAATTTTGGGGGGATTGCTTCTGCAACATTTAAACATTAAATGTTGCCTGATGTGATCATGGGATATGGAACTGAAACTTGATGGAATACTTTTCTTCAAACCCTATTTCTGACCCTCCACTTCCTCCAATCTTAGACTTGCTTCCTTTTTTCTTTTCTTTTTTAATATTTGAACCTTACTTGTTCATCATGTTAAGATATAATGAAATTTTAATACTCTGGGTTTAATGGTCCTATGAATATAAAATGCTATAAATTTTTTAGCAGAGAAGCAGAATTTCTTTCCTGACCTGATCTTGCCTAGTTTTCTCTAGCTGTCAATTTATGCTTTATTTAATTTTATTTCCTAAAAACCAAGGATCACAACTGTTTCCCAACTTTATTGTTAATTTCTCTTTTAATTTGTGATAAGTATTTTCTATTTTTAGTAGAGGATAGCTAAATATTTGTGAGAACCTGTTGGTCCAGTGGTTGAACTCACAGCGGGAGACTGTGAATTCTAATTTTGCCTTTGACTCTAAGCCGGCTGGCTTTCTCCCAGCCCCAGAAGGAAGTCAATGACAAACCACTTCTGAAAACCTTGCCAAGAAAACTGCAGGGACTTGTTCAGGTAGTCTCTGAGAATCAAACATGATTGAACAGAAGAAGAAAAACCTCCTGAATATTTACTTCTTCCTTTTATAGTCTTCCTTGCTTCCCCATAGCCATCTGCTTAGCCATTGTAAATATATATATATTAGATTACATACGGAAAAACTCTAAAGCTAGTGTATCCAAATTGCAGTTCATGAGCCCCATTTGGCCCCACACTTTTTAAATTGTTGGTACTATATCTCATTTGTACATTGTTGTCCTTTAACTATAGGATCCACAATTGCAGACTTCTTGACCATGAAGCCACATGATATTTTTTCTGTAGACTGAAGAAGCTAATGCACTTCTTGGCGATTGGCTAATAACAGGAATAATTATCTCTGAGTGATGGGAATTTTTCCTTCTAGGTGGATCACTGGGCCAGCTAGTTAAGCAGTGTGGGTACCTACCTGAGGACAGAGCTCTTGATTATCTCAGCCAAACACTGGAAGCCTTGGAATATCTTCACGCCCACAGCATTCTCCATGGAGATGTAAAAGGTAAGATCAGCATTAAACAGCCAATTCCAAGTAGCAGAGAATTTGCTCAAAATAACATTAATTGCTGCAGTTTCAGAAAATAGGAGGAGATGTTAATTAGTCAACTTCTCTTTGACTTCAATAGAAGATTATGTAAATGTTCTGGCAGCCTCCTTTCACATAGAAAACTAAGTATGAGGGAGAGGGTCTCTTCTGCCTGAGATGTTAATTTATCTCATATTATAATTTCTATGGAGGAACATTTAATCATGTAAATATGCACTTCTGGTCCCCAGTAATAGTCAAAATGTCAGGGGAGCACCTAAGGAGAAGAACTAGGTGGTCTTGTGACAATATTATATATAGATATTGATGGCCTAAAAACCTTGCAATTTTTCTTTTGGCAGCTGACAATATCCTTTTATCTGGTGACAGAAGCCATGTTGCTCTCTGTGATTTTGGTCATGCAGTTCAACTTCATCCAGATGGCATAAAGAACTATTTAATGACAGGTAACCTATGGCAGGTTCTGAAGAGACTGTTGATGTACAAGCATTGGACTGCTTTTTCCTTTATGTTCAAAATATGCAACTCAGTCCTTAAAATAAATAACTAAGAGGTGTCTGTCTCACTATCTTCTAGCATCAGATATGAAGATATATCTTTATCCCTGACTCAATATTTTAGGCATAATTTTAGGGCATTATCTATTTTTTTAAAAAATGTTATATGATAACATATGCCAACTATCTTCTGCCCATTATCTGTACCCAACAACTGTATATATTATGCAGATTGAGCTACTGTGGGTACTTTACCAAAAAAGAAAATTGCCTCAAAATGGAGAAAAAAATAAAATTATGTCAAAAATCCTAGGTAATATAAACTTATTTATAAGTTTCCTAGGAGATAAAATCCTCTTTGCTTTGATAGTGCTCATGCCTTGGGAACGAAGGCTAAGTTTATTGAGGAAGGAAAAGCAAAAAGGATTTTATCTTGAAAGACCTGGAATTCTTCCCCCACCCCCCAAAAAGTTTAGCAACACATGCTAATACCCTGGGAAGGAAGATTAAGGCTAACAAGGAAAGGAAAACCAAGAGCTTCACCAGCATCTCACAAAAAGAGATGCTGCTTGTGGAATTATGCCACATGACCCAGCAATGGATGAGCTGTCATCCTTCCCTAACTCAACCTCTTGAACTCTGGAGATCTTGAAAAGATAAATGAGCAATCAGTGACAGGGAGGGGGTGGGGAGGAGATCCAAGGAACTGTGTGGATCCCAAAAGATGGGAAGTGGAGCGTGGAGGTGGGTGAGGTCTTAAGAGGATGGAGAGAAGTGGGATTTTTCCCATTCCTGAGGCACCCCTTATTCCACTTAACAACCAACATTTAACAAATGAGTTGGGTCCCCCCAGGGATGGAGACTTGTTAACTGAGATGGTTCATTTAACGCTCTCCCAACCTTCTGCTATAATGACAGCCTCCATTATGCCGAGAATTATCTGTATATTTTTTTTAGTAGAAGAATTGCAGAAAGTATTAGCTTTTGATATTTGCCAGTACAGTGGTTTACTATTTAAGGCACTAAGCTAGAAACCAGGAGCCTGGAAATTCTAGACCCAGCTTAGACATAAAAGCCAGTTGGGTGACTTTAGTCCAGTTACTCTCAGTCCACAATATAAGTATTATGTTTTTTGTGGTGAAACTATTTATCTGTAAGTTAATGTCTGTTGTAAGTACAATATATTCTTATATCTCTCCTGTACTTATCACCATATATTTTTTGCTCTTCCATTGTTTGAAGCTATTATACATTGCAATCAATTGTAAGATAGTTCTAGAGATTACAGTATAACTTTCCCAAGAGAAATTTGTAACAGATTTTGAATGTAAAACTGTTCAAGTTACAAATGCTCTATTTCAAGTTTGGAAGAGGCTGTTCCAACTTTTCCAGAATTGTTTTGAGAATGAGGTGGCTGATTGTTCGGCTCTAAAATACCTCTTTCAGACTTGAAACTTTGTGAATTCAAAACATTTTGGGTACCCCTATTTCCCAAGTGATACTTCTCTCCAGAGTGTTTCCAACCAGCATGAATGTGAACTCAAAATTTCTGAATCCTTGCCTTGCCTCTCAATTGTAATACTCCAATAACATTCTTTTTGTGTGTGTGTGTGGCATCTGCTCTTCTACAGTGAAGGGCTGTTGGGCAAGTCTTTATTAGTTTAAGAATGTCTCAGTGTGGCGGCTTGTGTGGAACAGGGCCCAGCAGGACCCTAAAGAACCAGTTTCCTCTATTCCACTTTTAGGGGATTATGTCCCGGGCACTGAGACCCACTTGGCTCCTGAAATCATAATGGGAAAGCACTGTGATTTCAAGATAGACATCTGGAGTAGTTGCTGTATGATGCTGCACTTACTGAATGGGTACCATCCTTGGATTAAGTACTATAATCATCCTCTGTGCTTCAAAGTAAGTCACCCATTAGTAAATGGGTAAATTGTTGGTTCATTTATCTGAAAGACAAAACAGATAATTGTGGCATGAAATACTTAGTGTTCTCAACCAATCTAAGAAATGTATCTTTTGTTAGTAAATATGTATTTTTGTTGGGTAGCTTAAAATCCAAAAAGTTTACCATTCAACACAATGCACTTATTTTAGATTAACTGTTGCTCTCAAGAAGATGTAGATCCCACCTCAGGATTACTTCAATTTTTCAGATCTCTAGAATTTGCAGTTTATACCGAAATATGCGATCTGAGTTCTGACTAGTTGTTTGATGATAAAAGCCATTTGCTCGTACCTTTTAGCAAAATAAATCAGCAATATCTGTTAAGTGGTAAGATCCTTATCATAGTGATAAGTTCAAAATGAACAGTCTATAAAAAGGGGTTTCTGATTCATTTTGAAACCATTTTTGTCTATAATTCTGGAAGATTGATATTCCAGAAGGATTCACTGATAGAAAGCAATTAAGAAATATAGAATTGTAATGATATTGTGGCTACGGCTTATGCAGTTCCAACTAAATATCTTCAGTAATTTATAAATACCTCAAAATTGTTTCAGCTGTTATATTACATATATGTTCCACCTCTTATATTACATATATACATATTATATTTGAGAATAGGTGGATGGGGCAGGTTGTTCATGGATTGTACCAGCCCTGCCGAGTGACAAACTATTATGCTATGTTAGTTACTTAGTTTTGTAGCATGATAGTTTAATGCTATTTTACTGTGGTGTATTGAATGTTCTCATTTGTTCCATGACACATTTTTGTGATTTTTAAATAGGACTTTTTTCTTTCCTTCTATTTTTGCCTAGTTACCTCTTCCCTTCCCACACCTCCATCTGTTTCTCTTCTTGTTTTCTATTTTTCCTTTCATTTTTGTATTTAATTTTTATATTTTTTGTATATAGTTCTTTGTGAGGAGCTTGTGAGAGAAAATGGTATATGGGATGCCTTATTCTAAGGGAAACATTTTAAATTCAGGGTCATTTTTCTCTTAAATAAATAAGGTATTTGTTAGAAAATGAGTATGCGCCAATTTAAGTCTACACAGAAGCTGCAAGAAAGGATGGGTGATGATGACATTTAGACTGCAATTCTGAAGTTGAATTTTAATTAAAACAATGAGATCTTTTGTAAATCAGTTTGCATATATAATGGAAGATAAAGCAAAACATGAAGTAAGCTTATTAAGTTCTGAAACATAACACAGTATTCAATGAATATAGAAATGATCATTCAGAAGCTGAAGGGGTATGATGAAGAAAATGCAAAGTAAGATGGTTTTCTTTGAATCTTTAGTATAGAGTAGCTTCAGGAATTAGCCCCTATACAAAGACCTCTATTTGAGAAGTTTAGTGTGGATGCTAGATGCAAGTTGTATCTACTGCTTATATACATTTTGGTGCATAAAACACTATTTAGGTTACAGTTGGCTATTCTAAATGCAAAAGAACTTTATTTTAATGATTACGGAACTGGAAGCTAAAACATGAAGAATGGTTACAGGAATTAGATATGTCTAGTTTAGTGAAAAGGAGTACTAGGGGACACATAGCACTGTTCCAATATTTGAGGGGCTCCTACAAAGGCAAGGGGGGCTCAAACTGTTTTCCAAAGCACCAAAGGGGTCAGACAAGAAACAAGGATGGAAACTAACCAAGGAGATAAGCAACCTAGAATTAAGGAGAAATTTCCTAATGCTGAGAGCAATCAATTAATGGAACAACTTGCCTTCAGAAGTTGTGGATGCTCCATCACTGGAAGCTTTCAAAAAGAGACTGTACAATTATTTATCTAAAATGGTATAGGGTCTCCTGCTCAAGCAAAAAGTTGGACTAGAAGACTTCCGAGATCCCTTCCAACTCTATTCTATGTTCTAAACAATTGAAATGTAGTGTAAAACCTTTAAACTTTTCAAAGAATATAATTATTCTGTCTTTTCTCTGGGGCCTAAAAGAATTCTAATTTTTGTCTTAGTTCAGTCTGATGAAATATAGTAGCTTGGAGTTAAGAGCTGGGCAAATGTCCAGGGAGGAAACAAAATTTCTGTCCATCTCAGACATCAAATTATATTTGGGTAGCACTGGCCCTATTTGCAAGCCTCTCAATATTTTGTCCTTTTGAGTATTGCCTTTAAGGCAACTTGTCAGTTTATAGCATGTGCTTGGTAGAATTTCTATGCACATTAGTATTTTTTGTACTAGAATATTGAGGGGTTTTGCCTGTATTGCAGTTGTCTGTCACATATTATCTATGCCTTGTTTTCAAAAAAGTGAGAAATTGATTTCTATTTCATATATATACAGTAGTAGTTGTCACTGTATGTTAAATAGTTGCTATGTGCAGGCCTGTAGCTTTCCGATTGCTTTTGATCAGTATCCATTTTCCCGCGTCTCTCCATTGCAGATAGCCAAAGAACTACCCCCTCTGAGAGAAATTCCTCCCTCCTGTCACCCATCCACTGTTCAGGTCATTACCTCTGGCCTAGAGAAAGAGCCTACAAAACGAGCTTCTGCAGCAGAGCTAAGGAAGAAAACCTGCACAGCACTCAAGCAAAGTGAGATTGCTTTGTCTGTCTGAACAACTTTGGTAGTATTTTAGAAAGCAGTATGCTTTTATTGTTGTAGGCTCCAGGAGTCTTTCTGAGCTTAGTGATACATGACTGAAATGAATAGTCAAACTCACTTCTGATTTCTGATATGCTATGTCTTTTGACAATAAGACAGAAGCGATGTACTATTTACGGCCTTCTGGTTTGGTTTGGTTTGAAAATATAATAAAACATTATTCTGCTATAGAAACTGAAAACTATGTCAGAGTAGTCATCATTTTATAAATATATGTATTTTAGAATGTATATGTTCCCTCTTCATAATGGATTGCTACAGGAAACTTAGAAGAACTAAGAATATCTAGATATATCATCTGAAACTTTGGAAGCATCTTACCTTGTGTTAAATGCATGCTGGTGGTTGAACAGGGATCCCAGTGCTCCCAAGGTGTTTTTATCCTAGATTTTCCTATGTGTGCTTTTGGTTTGTAGTGGGAGGACTGAAGAGTTCCTGGAATGGTGAATACAGAGAACCTAGATGTTTGCAGTCCACAGAGAAAGCTATTCTCACAGAACTATTGTTATCCATACCTGAACTGCCGGATAGCCAAAAGGTGTTGTCCAGAAGCCCTAGACCTCCATTGCCATGTGAGGATCTGACTGAGAGAACGCAGTTAATTCACCCAGACATGTGCAAGGAATTACTGCCACCATCTGACTCCCTTCTACCCTCCTTTCTGGCTCCAGCGAGTACTAGGAAATACAACATGACAGAATGGAGGACTCCCAGCATTGACCACGACCTTCAGCAGATGGAGTTTGGTAATCATGGATCAGGATTGATTGATTGAGTTATTCATTCATGCCTTTCCTTTATTGTTTTTATAAATAACTCAAGGCAGCAAATATATCCAATATTTCTTCCTCCTCCTATTTTCCCAAAATAGGAGGAGGAAGGAAAGAGAGACAGTGACCAGCCGAAGCCAGCTTTCATGGCTAAACAGGGACTAGAACTCACAATCTCCTATTTTCTAGCCTGATGCTTTAATCAGCAGACCAGACTTGCTCTCTTATTATTTAAAGCTGCTTCTTTGTTTGCCATCTAGTTACCTGACCTCTTTCCCCCCCAAGCTTTTTGTACAGCTGTCCACATCATAGAAGATTTTTCTGAATGGTACTCTATACTGTAAATAGCATTTCTACCTGCTTGTTATTAATTTAATTGAAGAAGTCAGTCATATAATACTTGTGAGTTTAAAAGAAGGAAAGGGTAATGATGGTAGCAGAATAAAAAGAACCTGCAAAAAGCCAGGCATCCATGAAGGGAATGGAGCATGTTGGAGTGTGAAAGTAGCAAGGGGCTTCTGATGGTATGCATTTTTATTTTTTATATATTTTATATTTTTATATTTTATATTTTACTTTTTATTAAAACATGTCTTTTATTGTCAAGTTTCAATGTGGCTCCTTTAATAAATAGTTGAAAGGTGCTGTGCTCATGCTTGCATGAATTCCAAATCCCTTCTTCCAAATCATTTTGAAGCAGGTAAAGTTCTTAGTTATCTCATAGCATCTGTAACCATTTGTTCTAGCAGGATTCAGAAGAACCAGATTTTACCCCAGGATATGCCAGTGGGCAACATGCTATATCTATTGTTCAATTTTTTTCAGAGTTACAAATATTCTGTTTACAAATAAACTAAATTAAAAAATTAAAAATCCTTTATTGGCAGATTATTTTGGAAACACAAAAGACAAAATAAATAGTTAGGCTTTAACTGGGTTGAACTTTTGAAGAAAGGAAGCCATGTTTTAGAGAAGGAAATATTGAAATAGTAAGAATAAAAAATACATGCCAATATTTTAAAAACCAAATATAATAGCTGGCAAGCATGAATTAGTATAAGTACAATACACATTTAGAAAAAGAGCAGATCCATTTAATGTATCACTGGAAGCAAATCAAAACTATAATCATTATATTTTGAAATGTTAATGATGAGATGATGGAGTTCTTGTCTGTTTTAATAATGAATCCAGAAATTATCGTCAGTTTAGGGTAATCCTGGATGCCGACAGTGGACAGACAGTCTCCAGTGTCTTCATTTTAATCCATTCTTTCCATAGATCTGATTCTGAACAGCCTCTCTCAACCCTTTTCACTGGAAGAACAGGAACAAATGTTGTCTTGCTTCAGCTTGGATAGCTTCCTCACATCAGATGCTAGTGAAAAGGTAATGTACATGAGGATGGACAGTTGCTGTTTTGGAATTGTAACTGATTGTCCAGAATATTCCAAGAAGGATTGTACAGAATTCTTATTCAGAAGAATTTGAGCATATTTGAATGCCTTGTACATTCGTATCTTTCACTGTGTATTCCTGCTTCAGGTTTGTGTCCTGTCTATGCTATGAAGGAAAACTGTTTTTTTATTAGAACCCCAATCTAGATTCTATTGAGTAAAGCATATTTGTTTCCTCCACCCAATAATAGAAAAAATAAATAATAAAATGAGTGACTGACTTAATATAAGTTGCTGATCCAATCTTCTGGGTCAGAGCCAAGTATTCCTTGATTTATAGCCACAGTCCTGGTGGCCATTATAATTCCAGATACGGTGTGTGTGTGTGTGTGATTAATAGCAATAGCTATATACTGCTTTATAGTGCTTTCCAGCCCTCTCTAAGCGGTTTACAGAGTCAGCCTATTGCCCCCAACAATCTGGGTCCTCATTTTACCCACCTCAGAAGGATGGAAGGCTGAGTCAACCTTGAGTTTGGTGGGATTCAATCTGTCAAATTGCAGTAGGAGTAGCTTGCAGTACTGCACTCTAACCACTGCACCACCCAAGGCTCCCTAATTAAGCAGGAAGTGGAGAGAATCCCAAATAAATACACAGACACCCGCCCCGATAACATCAGTCAGACAGAAAGAGTATGAATTTCACCTATTAGGGTCCAGGAAAGGAGCCTTCTCTGCCATTGCCTCAGCCCTCCGGAATTTTCTCCTTATCAAGAGGTGCCAAGCCTCCACCCTCCAGGTCTTTTTTAAAGGGTATGAAGACCTTGCTATGCCAATCCGTGTGGAATCAAGAGTGGCATGTAAACCTGGAGATGGTTATTGCTTTGAATGTTCTCCCTCCCCTTTTTAATTTTTAACTTATTTCATCTTTGCTTTTTTGCTTGGCGCCCAATTTACTGATGTATTTTTATGTGGTTTTTATGCTTTTAACTGTAAGCGCAGCTAAACAGCATGGGTGTTCTGTCCTGACTGCACGTTAGTCTGTGTGCAGCTCGACATGCAGCTAAACCCACCTATCTTCCAATAAAATGAACCATGTGCGTAGATCTGAAACAACAATATATAAAGGTTAGGTGCTATGGCATGACAATGGGGGCAGTGCAGGGACGTTAGGTAGGCCCTGGGAGGCCTGAAGCAGACCGCACACAAGTTGGTGGGGATGCTAGAATACAGTGTGACAGGAAGGAAGAGAGAGAAATAATACAGTGCAGCTCAGGGTTTTCTTGGCATGCCATGCATCTGGTGTGTAAGAACCTGCTCAGTAGCAACACAGCACAAAGCAGCTGTCTCAGGGAGGTGGAAAACTGTAACTCAATAGTATGGTATAGTATACTTAAGCCCAGCCACCCTCGCTACCCTGCATTTCACCATCCTACTGACCATCACTGATTTCATCCTCCTGCTGCTGCTGAGGTGTGGCTGCCTTGGACCTTCACAAGACAACTGCTGACCATGCCAGACCTTCTTTCCAAGGTTGCTTGCTCCATTCTCCAAATTGTGTGTTCCACTCTTCAAATAGGGCTTCCTGTTCTCCCAATGTTTCAGAAAGCCTTCAGAAAGCTTTTTCTAAGGTCTTCGCCAGATCTTTGAGAATGGCACACTATTTGGAGAATGTTACAAGTGACCTTGGGAAGAATGCCAGGTGTAGCCATCAACTGCTTTGTAAGAGGTTAGGCAGGGCATGCCTTGTGAATAGCGGGAGGAAGATGGCAAAGGTCAGCTGAGTGCGGCAGGGCCTGGAGGATGGAGGTCAGTGAAAGCCATTAGTGCTTTGTGCTGTGGTCTTGAGGTAGCTAGCTGAGATTTGTGGCTTGAGGGAGCATTTCTCAGTGGCAGCTGCAGCCCTGTGACTGCAATAAAAGCCTAGAGGATAATAGTAGCTGGCTAGCTGAAGGCCCTGGGCCTCTACTTCAGCCCCTGCTTTGATGCTTCTGCCACGGAGTGCTGCTGTGCAAGGTGGCCAAAAAGGATAGATGGGCAAGAGATAAGCAGGAGGGGGAAGTTGAAGTTACCCCTGTGGTTGGAAGTGTGGGCAGGCTGCCAAGAATCCAAACTCTGATCACATGACCATGGGATGCTGCAATGGCCATAACTTCAGGTAACAGTCATAAGTCAATTTTTTTTCAGTAGCGTTGTAACTTCAAATGAGCACCAAATGAATAATCATAAATCAAGGACTACCTCTATGGCGCAGCATTTATTTCCAGTCTCTTTCCCACTCACTTCAGATCATCCCCAGGGCTTTGTGCTTTCCTGCAGTTTAATTGCATGTAATTGCAGTACTGTGTAATGTTTATTTTGTTGGACTGGAACAGGGAGATCAGGTTCAAACCCTCATTCAACTGTGGAATCAACTGGATTGATTTTGGCCAGTTACTCATTCTCAGCCAAAATGTAAAGATCTGCCATAATCAGTGGAATCTAAATATAACTAAATATAATAAATATTATCCTACATAATAAAAGGCTACAGGTATTCCTAGGGAATGTTCACATTTTTCTTTCGTATCACATCATCCCTGAATCTTTGAGCTGTTACCCCAGCATCTTACAAACCAGCTAGCTATTCTCTGTATGTCCCCCTTCTCCTCTGCCTATGCAGTTGTGTTGGCTGGTGCATCTTTCCCATTTAGAAAGTTTCAGTACTGAGTCATGGCACTTGGACAAACGATCAACTTCATGAACAGTTATTTAGACATTCCATTAGCCATAACCATTCCAAAACACACATGCATATTGAAATAAAATTGTCTTCTTCTCTCTGCTTGTCTCTGTTTCTCTCACATATAGTTTTTCTTTAGCAAAGTTAGCATGCAAAATGCATCCCTTATTTCTCATGCTTGAAAGTATTCACATTTACTTTTTTTTCTTCATATACTAAGTGTCAAATGCAAGGCCATGTACAGATTTCCACTCTCTAGCATTTCTTGAGAAATTTATGTGTGTTTGGAGCTGCGGGGGGGAAGGGGAGGGGATACAGAGTGAAGAAAGGAATGCAAAAAATAATGTAACAAAAAGATACATCTGGCAGCCAAGCCTCTCCAAAAATGCAGTTGCTCCTCTTTTTTGATTCTTTAGGGCTCATTGAAAATGTCCTACAGTCTAAAGGACACCATGAGTTCAGGGGTACATTCCTGGAACAGCCAAGCAGATGGCCAGAGCACCAGCTGGGACAGCTGGCTGAATCGTAGCAGAAATACAGATATGCCCACTTATGTGAACGGTAAGACATGGTTATAGGATAATAGCCACAAATTACTTTTTTAAGAAAATCAAGATTAATTACTACTTGAATTATGGATTTATGAGCTAGAACAACAGGATAGCAGCCTGGAAGATTATTATTCTTCCCCATTACTTACTAGATTTTTCTAGTAACAATCTAACCTATGTTTCTGGAAAATGTTTATTTGATAAAGTTAAATGGTGAAGACTTTGGCTGTTTGAAAGACAACTTAAGTGTGCCATGAGCTTTCAAAGATTAATCTGGTTAAGTGTATGTTACATTATTTTCAAAATGATTGTAAAATCTGTATGTTCAGCTGAACTTAAAAAATGGCAACAACAAAAGTTAATGAAATGCTGGATGCTCAAAATATATTTGTGACTTTTGGACTCCTTTAGATCCTGATGCTTTCATTTACACTGACCAGGGTTTGGACCAGGTGTGAATTAGGTGTGCCCAACCCATGATCTGCATGCAGCCCTGGACAGCTAGTAATGCAGCCCACAAGATAATAAAAAATAAAGGAAATTTTTTATTTATATACTTTAACTCTATTATATATTTTATGTGTGGCTTAAAAATTCATCTTCAGCAAGTACAGCTCAAAGAAGCCAAAAGATTGGAGAACCATAGTCTAAATCCATATTTCTCAATCTTACTTAACTTCACATTTGGGCTTCAAGTTCCAGGATTTCTCAGCTATCATGTTGTGATTTGAAAGCCACCAGTGTTGGAATCTCAACCACAAATATTCTCTGGGCTGAGAAGCATCATATGTTGTGATGAAAGGAATTTAGTCCAGGGATGGATAGAAGGAAGATTGAGAGCTATTGATCTCTTTGCAATAAAATTGGAACAAAAAGGTGTTTTTTTTCTATCTCTCTCTCTTTTATTTTCTCCCAGGGGTGAAAATTGAGATCTGCTTGCTTAGTGGGGAAAGCCTCCACATCAGAGAATTCCGTGGAACTAAGGTGGGAGATGTTGCCACTGGAATTAGCAGCCAGGTAGGTGTTGCACTGAAGAACCAGTCTTTTTTAGCTATGTATTAAAAATAAAGCTTTTGGTGAAGGAAATCTAAATTTTGCAAGGTGAGTAACTTTTCCATGGCAGAAGGCGCACAGTAATAATTTTTACTCTTAGAAAATGTTGAAGTGAATGGGACTAGTTTCCAGTCCAATCTGAGGATTTGGGATGCCATAGCTCTGCCCCAATTGGGGAAATTAAGTCTAGTTTGGGGAGGGGCAGGATGCCTCTGATTTAAAATGCCAATTTATTCATATTTTTTCTATTTTATCATTTACTACTATATTTAAACATAGTACCTGATTTATTTCATCCTTAAATCCATCCTGGGCCAAGATTTGTAATAGTCTAGGGCAGTGGCCCCAAACCTTTTTTGTGCCGCGGCCCGGTACCGGCATCACAAAATGATCTGCGGCCCGGTACCGGCATCAGCACGCATGACAAGGCAAGGCGAGCCGAGCGACCGGCCAGCCAGCCATCCCCCGCTTCTCCCCACCACCTTCAACTCCTCCTTTGTACCTTTGTCGATGGGCTTCGCTTCGGGATGGCTTCGGGACGGTCGCTCGGCTCGCCTTGCCTTGGGTGCTGAAAGAATCCTCACGCCTTAGTTTTGTTCAAAGCCCCCCCCCTTCGATGAAACTAAGGCGCAAGGATTCCTTCAGGACCCAAATGCCGCTTTCCAACCGGAAAAGCTCACCCGGAAGCACTTTCTCGTCAAACAAGATGGCGGCGCCCAGCAAACCGGCGGCCTGGTAGGAAATGTTCCACGGACCGGTACCGGTCCGCGGCCCGGTGGTTGGGGACCCCTGGTCTAGGGGTCACAAAACAGGATCTGGTTGGTTTACAGGTGATTTGAAGATTTATACAGGCATTAATTAGGATTGCCAGTACATACCTATAGTAGAATGGGTTTCGTTTACCTGTTTTTTTTTAATTTTATTTTGTATTCTTAGATACCAGCCCCTGCATTCAGCTTCTTCACAAAAGAAGGTGATCCTGTCCATTGTGATATGATGGTCCCTGATTCAGGCATTGAACTTCAGTGCACTTTGGCTCCTGATTGCAGTTCTGGCTGGAAGTGGAGGATCAAATATGGTCAGTTAGAGAAGCGGCTTTAACGTCTTTTTCCTCCTCACATCTTATATTGAATCAAATGTGACTCTGCAGAAAAATGAGTGCAGGAATTCGTTGGTGACAGCTGGTTGCTAAAGGTGATTACAGGTTCCTTATCTGCTTCTTTGTCACATCCAGTGCCTATGGAAGATGTTGTGGGATAAACTTCTATTCAGAGTTGAATGGTTGGGCTGCATTTAACAAAATCAACCTCAGTAGCTTGAAACATAAATTGCTGTGGTTTAGGCAGATAAATCCTTCCTTAATCCCACTATCAAGGACTATCCCAATAGTGCTTAGATTTGCATCATCTTTTAACGTGGCTTTTTTCAGTCTGAGCACTGAATACTGCTTTTGAATTCCTTGGAGGAATGTATGACCTCCAGATTTAATAGCTAGTGTGTAATGAGTACATAACCAATATATCTCTGCAGAAGCAGTAACTTCGTCACTCATACAGAAACTCCTTTACTATACATTATTTCATTTTCTTTCTGTACAATTTACAGCAGGCATGTTCAATTCACAGCCCATGGGTCACATATAGCCCTGGATAGCTGGTACTGTGGCCTCACAAGATTGTAACCTATCTACCTATTTAATGAATTTTGTTGTTTAGATACATTAACTATATTATAGCTATATACTATATTAACATGCGATCCAAGACAATTCTTTTCCATTCAGTGCGGCAGAGGCAAGCAAAAAGGTTGGACACATCTGTTTTAGAGTTAAAATTACATGCTTATCAAGAGAACTTTTAACTACCAGTCTGAGTACAAATAGTTTTTTAAGATTAAACATATCATACTTTTCAAGAGAGATTTCATCTATGCCAAGGAAAGTTTGAAGCAAAAATCTAAACTTGTGATAGTTTAGGCAAGTCCTTATAGTCTTGTTTTTAGTTGACCAGATGGATTCTCCCTCGAGCCGCTCGGAGCATCCAGAGAGTGGGATGTGCTTCTGAGTCCTCTTCTTGCAGGCTGAGCTTTAGCTGAGGAAACGCTCCGCCCCCTCACGTGATTCCACGCAGCGTTCCCCCAGTCTTTTGCTCAGCCTCGAAGAGTCAGGCTGCTTTCAAAAAGAGTTCCTTGGCTGATTCAAAATACGTACTTTATTCTGGCTAATTTCTTCATTTCTCAGGTTTGAAATTTCCTTTCCTCCTCCTGCGCAAAAGGTTGGGACCTAGGGGACAAGCGGGCGGGTTCGCAGTGCTTCGCGCGACCCCCCCCCCCATCATTAGATCGTGTCGCTGCCTCCGCACTGCCTCATGGCGCGCATTCT